AGAGCTGAGCGCCGTTTTCCCATCATTACTAGTCAATAAATGTATTGATCCATAGCAGTGTTTACACCACGATGAAGCTCAGGCTGACTGAAGGACCGCCCTGCTGTGTGACCACAGAGACGCTGCTGCATTGCTTGCTAACAGCAGACATTCTGATTCTACTTTTGAGCCAGGTGGCGTCCAGGTGCTGTCCCTTTGAAAGAGCCAGGAGCCTTAGTTTCCACCTCCTCCATGTAAAGGTTGGCTCCAAGCGGCCACACCGGGGGGCCCACGGCACACCCGTCTGTTTGTGACTGCCCTGGTTGTATTTAAATATGGAGGTAAGGTGGTGTAACAGTGTGCAGGTGTGATCGGGGCGAAGCTTCTGTTTTCTAAGCAGGGGTCTTGTTGTGGTCGCTCTCTGACCGTCTCCACTGCCTCAGCATGCAAGCGTCAGACCACAGCACTGTGGTTTCATCTGGATCCAGGGGGAGTCTCTGGGCCGGTGAAGTGGGTGGAGTTTTTGATGTGGTGGGTGTGGTGCCCACGATTTTGGCTGAGTGTGAGTGGGACTGTGTGTTTGACGCTGCTGTGTGTTTGAGCTGTTTGGGGAAATGCACTGAGCTGTAGTTTGTCACTGTGACCACTAGAAGGCGCCACATGACAGCCACAGACTCCAGATTGAAGTTCACACAGACAAAGAAAGCACATCAGCTGTGTGCTGCGCAGCAGATGTTCGCACGTCTGCAGTTGGAGAAGGTGGAGTCGATCATATCGAGGAGGTTTGGCGCAGATGAACTCCTGATTCTGTTTTTCTACAACTAATCACGCTGAAGCTGAATAAAGCAGCAGAGTCGGGTCTGTCGGTGTACCTGCTGCCTGCTTGTGCCCGGTTTGAGGAAAATGAAGCCCAGCCAGAAGAGAAATGAATCACCAGAGCGACTGCTGAGATTCTGCCGAGTGTTTCTGCTGATGACCTTCAAGGAGTAACTGCGACCCGCCCACCTGTGCCACGCCCTCCAGGCCAACTGTGAGTGCTAAGAGACCCGAACCCAGGTTTAACCAGAAGACCTATCAGAGGTGGAGAGTAGGGATGGGTATCGTTTAGGTTTTATCCGATACCAGTACCAAACCGGTACTTTTGAAACGGTGCCGGTGCTCAAACGGTGCTTAAAGAATGGAGAACACAAAATTGGTCCAAAAACCTCTCATGTTCAGCTGTTTTTTGTAAAAAGATAACAATGTTAGCCTTTTCTGCAGCTATGGGGCATATATGGTATCACTCTTGGCTGGAAGCAGTGCTTAAACAATGGAAAAAACACAAACTTTGTCCTAAACCTCTCATGTTCAGCTGTTTCCCTCTTTTTCTTTGGTCATTTTAGCCTTTTTGGCCAGGGTGAAGGGAGTATCTGCCATCAAACAAGAAGACAGCCGCATGTAGCTATGATGATGTTTGCTAGTTCACCTTACATGCATTAATGTAATAACGTGGGTAGCCTACTCAACGTAAATCACACACGAACAACATTAAGCTACTCACGCAGAGAAGCTGCTGCTGCATCATCATCCTCATCATTTCTGCTACACTGGCAGGGCTAGGGGCCAGGACTCTCCTCTTCGGGTTCTTGGGGGATGTTGCTAACTCCGGGTCATAACAGGCAACCCACCCGCAGTAGATGTGCTCGGTGTGAGGTCTCGCAGCAAGCTATCAAATACGGTTCATTTCTCGACTTTTAAGAAAACGCTATGCGTCGCCAGGTGTTTCATCGGATTTGAGGAGTTACCTCCTTTGACAGTATCACAGTATCAGCTTAAAGCACTTGTTGCTGCTGAGTTTGCATCTTTTGCTGTGAAGTACAGCCAGACTTTTGACCGCTTCGCCTTGGTCGTTTTTAATCTGTAGCTCTGCTCTAAAAGAACGGACGTACCTGGACCCGCCTACTATCCTCGGAAACGTAAAATGATTGGCTAGGATCCAAAGTGTATGACATCTCAGGGAAAAAAAGCACCGAAATGTGCGCTGCTTTTCAGTCTGGTTACTACCGTTTATGTCAGAACCGGTGCCATCATGGCACCGGACACCGGTACCCATCCCTAGTGGAGAGTCGTTCTACTGTGAGGACTCAGAGATCTCCTGCAGAGTCAAGAACACACAGTTAATCAGCTGGTGTTGGCTTACTTCAGAAATCAGAGTTTGTCACATGGATGGAAACCTGCTGGATCCCAGCTGATGGTGTGAGCAGATCGTGTGAGCACACCTGGTACATGTTGTGTTAAGTTTCTGTGTGTAGCACTGCTTTCACACAACAACACAAACTGAGCGTGCTCTCCTCCTGCCTGGTGTTTGGTACTCAGAGGCTAATACTGGCAACAGGAAGCCTGCACAGAGGGTCACTGACCCGCCAAAACATCACCGGCTGCCCTCTGACACCCCTAGAGGCCATTGCCAGATCCTCCTGTCTCAGGTAAGCCAGGCACCCTGTCCACCACCTGTCTGACCCGCTGCCCTCAGGTCAGTCAGGTCACTCACACACAGACTCAGACCTTTGTACACCTCCTTCACTTTGTTCTCCCATGAGTGCCTTTCTGTTGTTTTAGATGTATTTCTCCTGTCTGTCCTTTATTCTGCCGTCTCATTATTTATATTTAATTCCTGCACAGTTGCCGTGGAGCACCCATCATTTTGTTGTACGTGTCCAATGACAATAAAGAGATATTCTATTCTATTCTACTCCATTTTGGGGAGCGCCATCCCTCTGTTTACCTGCATGTCACCACACTCACCTGCCTCCATTACTAAATCAAGGACCAGTCCGTTTGTATCCGTCACGTTCAGGATCCACCGTGGATTCCTCCGTGTCGATCCGCAGCTCGGCTGTTTTGTGGGAGCTGCTGGTTTGAACACCTGAAACATCATTCAGCCAAACACCTGCTGGGAGGATCAGAGCCTTCAAAGAATTACACCTGAAACTCTACAAACCCTAACCCTGAACAGGTCACATACAGCATCCGTTACAGATGAAAACATCTGTAGCTAAAAACACAGAAACCCTCCCACACCACAGACAATCTGAGCGTTTTAAACACAAAACCTTAAAAAGTCCCTGTGTTGCTTCTGCTGCTGGGATAAAGACAAAGGCTGGAAACACACTGACGGAGTCACAGAGATGAGTCTGCTTCATGGCGACTGCACCCACCAATAACTGTCAAACTCGACTCCACAAGGCCCAGAGACAGGAAGATGAAGATGAAGAGGAGATGCAGCAGGACGAGGGTGGAGAAGGAAGAACCACAAAGTAAAAGCAGATAAACTCTCCCTGCATCACCAAGATGATGGTGGGGACAGTGAAGCCTCCATGAAAGTGTCCTGATGGTTCACGTTTACTCTGCAGCTTTGGTTACGATGCACAGCCTGATTCCTCTGATGTTAGTAACATTTCTCAGTCAATGCTCTGCTCTTTAGTACATCTGTATTTTGAAATGCCGCAGCCTGTGTAGTTTTCCTTGGCAGTAATGTTTCATTGTTCCTGCCAGCAGGTCAGCTAGATCCTCACCGATGCTGGATCCTGTGAAAAAGAAAGCAGCCAATGAGAGAGGTTTGACTTTCTGCTGAAAACAGGCTGAAGCATGAAACATGCTGATGAGACGATGGGCAGGTTCTACGTCTACTGTTGCTCTATGTGTCCTGTGTAAAGCTGGGACAGCATCAACAACAGAGGAAAAACGTAACCGAGTGCATTCAGTTTGAATATGGAAGAAAATGCAGTGTTTTCTAATAATATGAAGGAAATGGTAAATGGTCTGTATTTGTATATCGCTTTACGTAGTCCCTATGGACCCCAAAGTGCTTTACACTGCATGCACCCATTCACACACACATTCACACACTGGTGATGGCAGCTACCTTGTAGCCACAGCTGCCCTGGGGAGCACTGACAGAGGCGAGGCTGCCGGACACTGGCGTCGTGCTAAAATATAAACCCATTCATTTCTTACAACTTAGACATAAACAAAAGTTTGTGATTGAAAAAACAAATCATCTTTGTTTAGCCCCCCAAACTAATCACAACTTTTCCTGAAGTAAAATTAGTTACAGATTTAAAAAGCAAACAGGCTCAAGTATTCTTACTGTTTAAAAAAGACAATGATGGATAAAAATGCTGTGTCACAAGAACAGCAATCAGTACTGGTCCCAGCACAGAACCCTGAGGCACTCCAGCACTAATCTAATCAAAAACAGGAATCTATCAAACGGATTTGATTTATTATCAAACCATTGATCAATACTTCTTGACACATGTTGTAGGAACCGGGGTCTAATCGGAAGGTTGGTGGTTTGGCTCTGAGACGCATCAGAGAGCAGCTTTGTCACGGTCTGACTGGGGCAGACCGTATGTGTTGCAGAGGAGGACTCAAACGCAGACCAAAATGTGGTGTGGATTAACAAAACAAGCCGTTTATTGAGGTTAGCAACGAGGGTACAAAATAATAGGGCATCGGTGAAAACTAAACAATAACCTAAACTGGGTGAACTAATAACAAAACATGAAAAACCTTAACCATAGTGAACTGACATGGGTACCTGGAGATGAGACATGGATGAGCAGACGACCTGACAATGGCATGCAGAAAACAAAGGGCTTAAATACATACATGAGGTGATCAGGGGAGGTGGAGACACATGGGGGAAACAGCTGACAGACATAAACCTAATGACAGGACCAGGAGAGGAAAGCTAAATACAATAAACAAAGAACACATGACATTGTCAGAATAAAACAGGAAATACTAAAACTAAAACATGACAACACAACTTAACAGACCTAATATGTGATGAATAAATACAAAACCCCAAAACATAGAAAACCCAGGAACAATAACTGCCTAAACTAAAGGCAGATAGGAAATAACACAAACTAAATCACATAACAAAATGAGACAAATACAAACATGAACTCAGAGCGCTGGGTCAGAGACCCAGCCTGTGACAAGCTTGGGTTGGTATCCTGCTCAGGGATATTTGGCATGCAGACTGGAGCAGCCGGGGATTGAACCACCAACCTTCCGATTAGGAGACCCACTCTTAACACAGCTGTGATTACCTGCGGCCAGGTAATCACAGACTGCCATCAAACCAACAGAAACCAACAGAAGTCACTAACAGCCCGCCGTCCACAAAGGCGTGGTTTATGTGTCTGATTCATATTTATGGCCTGCAGCAACTTCCTGTCAGGAAACAGCAGAGTGTTGAAACACCGACTCTGGCAGCACTGTTGGACAGTTAGCTTCGAGGTGTAAGCCTGGCCCCTCTCTGGGTTTGAGGCTGGGCAGATTTGAATGTGGTGTAATTTAAAGACACAGAACATGTATGTGTGGTGTTGTTTAGTTAGAGGTGAGTAAAATGTGTGTCTGGCTCATAAACGGTGTTTCCTGAGCAGAGGTGTGAACTTTGAGCTCTCCGTGCTGAGGTCTGTCACCTGCTGTTGCGTGACGGAGGACAGCGATGACGGAGCACCTTCTGAAAATTCTCATTGTCGGTGATGGAAACGTCGGCAAGTCTTCCTTTGTTCATCGCTACGTCAGCGGACAGTTCAACAAGACCTACAAGATGACGGTGGGAGGTAGGGCTGCTTTACTCTTTTGAGTCTTTGAAACATTGGCAGGGTCTGCGTGGTGTGTTTGGGTGCCCTGAGACTTTGCATGGTCATCAGAAAACTTCAGAAGTCATGTTAGAAATAGCAGGCACTAACCTGAAACTGGTTTTTATATCGTAGAGGAGCAGACTGATGTTCATGTAAAATCTGAAGACAGATGGAATATAAAAGTGGATCCACCACTTTGGTCCTGACTGAGAAAACAAAAACCATCAGACTGTCGCACAGCTCCTGCTTTGGGCTCATGTTACACCAGATCATGACTTAAAAGAGCTTAACGTTTATCTGTCCCACCACGATTGTCTCGTTCCCTTCACCTCTTCCTGAATTAGAAATTTTTCAGAGAAGTCGTGTTATTCAAGGAAATTTGCTTACTGTGGGAGTTCCCTTTAAACCGTTCCTCAAGGGACCTTATATTTATTATACACACACAAAGTGGGTTTTTAATTTAATTCATTTCAACTTATATATGTCTCCCAAACTGGAAGCTGGTTCCACAGAAGAGGGGCCTGAAAACTGAAGGCTCTGCCTCCCATTCTACTTTTAAATACTCTAGGAACAACAAGTAGGCCTGCAGAGCGAGAGCGAAGTGCTCTAATAGGGTGATATGGTACTACAAGGTCATTAAGATAAGATGGGGCCTGATTATTTAAGACCTTGTATGTGAGGAGCAGGATTTTGAATTCTGGATTTAACAGGAAGCCAAAACAGGAGAAATCTGCTCTCTCTTTGTTGAAGGAGCTCTGTAACTTGTCCTCTAGCACCACCGTCAGGTCAAAATGTATTTTTCATCTCAGGACCTCGGCTGTTTTTAACTTTATGATCTAAAACTTTGTTTCTTACACAAATAGCTGGAGTTGATTTTCAGACTTTGTCCTTTGGTTTGCTTTGACTGGCGACTTCAGTCCGCCGGTCTCTACAGCTACATTTGAACCCATCACATCAGGAGCGCTCCTCCTTTTAAACCAAAGCTCCAGGAAATAATGAGGTTCACAGTCTCTCTGCACGAGTTGAATCAAATGAAGAGGAGATCACTGATTATTTCACAGCCTTCAATCTGTTTGCACGATTAGAAACTGGGGATTAGTCACTTGATTCAGACCCCAGGTGTACAAAATACTGAATGAATAATTACAGGATGAGACACGTTGTTAATTTCAATGTTTATACACACCTGGAAGCAACTGAGAATGAGTGCAGGTTCAGCTGGACGAAACCAGCTCTCACTTCTTTGCGCTTAATGAATAATTTCACAGAGGTTTCACTTCAGAAGAAGCAAAGTGAAACTTTGAGTTTATTTTCATATTTTCCTGTGTAGATGTGCCTTCAGTGGCGTTTCATTTCTCTCTTGCTGCGTCTCTAAAACAGACTGTTTCCTTCTGCAGTGGATTTCTCCGTTAAGCTGCTGCACTGGTCGGATAAAGAGAAAGTCCGACTGCAACTCTGGGACATCGCAGGTACAAAGAAAGTTTGGCTTCAGCTTTTTTAAGCTCAGTGGGTCAGCTGATGCTAAGACTGGTTAAATGACGTAAAACAAAAACTCGACTTGAGAAAAAGATTAAAACCAGCAGACATGACACGGTGTGCAGGTAGAACAACAGCAAACGTTTGAAGTTTGAGTCAGTGTGCTCTACAAGCTTCTGGAGGCTTTGGTGCACCTGTTTAGAAACTGCTTTGTCTACCTGACATAAAGGGCTGTGTTTGAACTGAACATCTTCAATCTGTTTAACAACAATACACTCAAACAAATAATGAAACAAAAAAACTAAACTGAACATTTTCAGACAGGAAGAAAACTGAAAGCAATTAAAAATAGTTCAAAATAAAATAAAAATTAAATTCAAAATATCTAACGCCTCTGCATTATTGACTGGGTCATGGATGGATGGATGCATTGGTGACACACTGACCTTTGCCTTGTCTCTTCAGGCCAAGAGCGTTTCATATCCATGACCAGGATCTACTATAAAGGGGCGCTGGGCTGTGTGGTGATGTTTGATGTCACCAGTTCCTCCAGTTTCTCCAGCTGTCGCCACTGGAAAGAGGACCTGGACAATAAGGCCATGCTGCCCAACGGAGACTCCATCCCCTGCATCCTAGTTGCTAACAAGGTGATTGAGTGCATCCAGCTAATGAAGGATCCACCAGGAAGCTTTGAGGTTCAGGCTAATGAGCACAGGCTGCTAACATGCAGTGAGTCACCTGACTATAAACTCAGTCTTTCTGCTTCGGTCTGTTTGCAGTGCGACCTCGCTCACAGGGCTGTCTCTGCAGACACCATCGACAAGTTCAGCAAAGCCCACGGCTTCATTACATGGATGGAGACTTCAGTCAAAGACAACAAGAACGTTGGAGAAGCCACGAGGTAGGAAGAGAACATCAGAGGCAGAGCTCAGAGAATTCATTTTTAGGAATTTAGAGTTAAACCTGGACCAATCCAGTAGAATCCCACATCTCAGTTTTGTGTTATGTGCAGTTTTATTCAATAAAATGTAACATGCAAGAAGGAAATTAGCTTATGTTAGCACCTGCTGAAGCTGGAATCAACCTGAAGAGTCAGGCTACGTTCACTCTGCAGGTCTTGATGCTCAATTCAGATTTTTTGATCAAATCAGATTTTTTTGTCTGCTCGTTCACACTACAAATAAAATGCGACAGCAAACGCGCTCTAGTGTGAACGCTCAAAGCGGCCGCATGCGCAAAAGAAGACGTCACACACAACGAGCTCTGTTTAGACCCAGAGCAACAGTATTGTTTGACTGATGGCCCTTAATATAAAGACTTCGGACCTCATGTTTCCCAATTTTTGCTTTAAGTTATTTTGTTATTTACATAATAATGTAGATAACCTAATAATGATCCTTACTGCTGTTTTAGAGGATAGCTGCAGATTTCTGTCAGAATCTGCAGATTATACAGTACAAATAAAATGTTCACGTTTCTCCAACGTTGTCTTCCCAGCAGTTTCACTGGATGGACAGGAAGCGTTCACGATGTCTTCTCCGGCGCTGATAATTGGCGTCTGTCTTGTGTCAGTGACGTAAAAGACGGATTTAATGCGACGTGACCATCAAACAGCAGTCGCTCTCTAAAACATCAGATATGTATCGGATTCAGGACCACATACGAAAGTGACCCAGGTCGGATTTGGAAATATCGGATTTGTCACACCATGATCAGATATGGGTCGCGTAGGGTCAAAAAAATCGGATTTGATGCGCTTTCGCCTGCAGTGTGAACGTAGCCATGTCTGTAGCTCCTCTGAGGTCCTCCTCCTCAATAACACCTGTGGGGGAGGGGGCGTTTCTATAACTCACCACTTTGTATTATTAGGGGCGTGGCCTCTTTCACTGACACAGCCAGCTGTAACTGCTAGCTGTCTGCTAGCTTTTAAATAGCTAACAACTTCATATTTGCTTCCCTGGTTTAAATGGAACGACGGCTTTATTCTTTAAAGACGATGCTCTGAATGTTGGAGGGACGTCCTGCAACAGCTTGTTTTCTCCGATCATTGAAATTACTGAAGCTCAGAGCGAGCAGCTCAAAGAGTTTCTGACCAGGTCATCGTCTCGCAGGTTTTGGTGGTTTTGGCTGGAAACAGCTGAGATGTTTTTGAACATTATCGAGGTATCCAGGCCGTCTTTCCTTTGACACAAAGATCTAAGATCTAAAGCAAGAGAGAAAAAGAGTATTAAACAGAAAATTCAATCTGATCAATCAGGAAAACACATCATTAAAGCTGTGAAATCTGTGGCGTTTCAGGATGCTGGTGCAGGAGATTCTGTCGGTTCAGTCCACCATGGACCCGATTCACAGACCTGAAGTCCGAGTTTATCCTCACCCGGACTCAGAGTTCAACAGAAGCTCAGGAGGAGAACGAGGCTGCTGCTGAAACCACGAGCATCACTCGGAGCACAGCAGGAAGTACTCTTCATGTGCACGTGAAGTGTAGGACTGTGAACTGTCTCGGAGCTGATTCTGGCTCTCCCACCTTTAATAGTTTCATTTTGAGTTAAAGGTGTAAATTAAACCAAGTTCAAATAAAGATCCGGGCCTCGCCTAAAGCGAGAAGCAACACTAAGGACAAACACGGGTATATGTTTCACTGCTGTGATCAGAAACAGGTGAGACACGTTAAAGGTCCGATGACGTGACGCCGAGTGGGGAGCACAGGAAAGGTGCTGGAGACAATGGTGAACAGGAAAAGCTTTTCAAACACACAGCACATGACCTTAGCGTGTTTAGCGGTTTGTACGCTGCACCCTGATGAGAACAAACCAGCCTCACACAGCAGAAACACAGTCGAGGCTTCTGCCACAACTTCACCTACATCCAAGGTGCCCAGAGAAGGAAACTAAGAGATTGAAGCTCCAGAAACACTCACATACATTCATATTAAACACCTTCGTCAATTAACTTTATTCATTTCAGCTTCGTCAGTCCTGATCCACATGAGTTTGAGAGTCCTGGGTGGGGACCCAAACCTGATCTTTGACTAAACCTCTGGAGAGTAAAAGAAGTCGAAGAAAAGAAGTGAAATGATGATGACATACTAAATAATGAATGACACACACCTCCAGCCTCCAGCAGAGGCACACGAGCTAACAAAAGAAAAGGTCTGGTTCAAACCTTTTAAACTGAAAAGGTTAAATTCGTGTTTGGGAATCAGCAGGTGTGCCACCCAGGTAAGCAATGCGAAGCAGAGGCTGAACACGGAAAGGTGGCGTTCAGCGTAGGCGTGGGGACCAGAAGGAGCACATGGAAGGTGAGTGTATCGTGAGAGAACGAGGTGCAGAGCGTGCTCGGTGCAGCCGTCCATCATCTCCCATCACGCTGAGTCGTCCCGACACGTGGCGTCCCCGTGCTGGCGGCGAGGCGTGTGTGAGTGGGTGCTGCACAGCATCAGTGGGACATGCACGGGAGCTCCGACCTGCTGCGAGAAATTCTGCTTTGAATTTTTACACTTTTACTCTTGCTGACAGTTTTTAGCTTCTTTTATTTTTCAGGTTGTCTCCTTGTTTCATTACCTGTTTTACTCTGGCAGTTACCTTCCCTCTGCGTTTCAGTTTGTTTACTTCCTGCCTCTGTCTGTTTCCCTCCTCCTGTGTTTCCCTTCTGTTTCTCAGTGCCTCAGGTTGATTCCTTTGAGCTTATTTGGACTTTCTGGGGGTTTCCAGGATAACCAGCATGCTTTGTGTATTTCCTTTTGCCTGACCTGATGTCATCTGCATTTGTATCCAGTTGTAGCACAGAAACATTTTTCAAAGAAGGCCTTCGGACTGTTTTTCTAGATCTGATTAATAAACATGCTAAAAAGTCAAATACCATCTTATGATTACCCAACTAAGTAAAGTAAAGATAATCAGGCTTATCCTCCCAGGGTGTCATTTGTTTCAGTGAGAGCCAGAGAAACCTGAGAAATTCTTAGCTTGGATTTGGAGCAGGTTCATAAAATGGTCATATTAAGCTTTGGTAAAATTACTTTAATCCCCCAAACAATTGCAGTGAGTAATATCAGGAAACCACAGCCACGTGATCAATAAACTACTTCAGCTTCAAAGAGACCCTCACCACCTCACGCTGTTTTAGTCCATCTGAATTTATGCATAAAGTCAATGTAAATTTCCCCGATGAACATTGATAACATCTGAATTCATGCAGGTTAAAGTATTTCAACTTTAAGCTACTGCAAAAAATGTCCCATCAGCTGCAGGACGACCTAACTGACTCCATCGCCAGCACTCTTTGGTTCACTTTTAAACAGAGCTCAGAAAACATCCAGTGTGACGGGGCGTGGGGCGGCTGCAGCTGATACACCTGAGCTCAATCAGCTCATCACGCCTCCCCTGCATAAAAGGAGTGGACTGGGTCCAGAGTTATTGTTGTTGCCGCTGAAAAGCTGCATCGCAGGCATGTTTAGACGACAACCAGAAATAAAAGGAAACTGCTGAAAAGTGTTGAAACATGGTTGGATCCATCATGCATCTTTTACATGCAGAAAACAGAAACCCTGGAAGCTTCTATAACTTCCAGCTGTGGGACTAATACAGGCTAAAGGCTGTCTTCTCTTATCACACTGGCTGAGTGGGCTTTCAACTCAAATGAATTCTCACGTTAGGCGTGAGGACGTCATAGCGGTGAGAAAACCATTTAATTCCAGAGTCAGAATCTTTGAGATGGTTTAATTCTATCGAAGTATAAAGTTTTTCTTTCCATGTTTTTGACCTGTCTTTGGGTTTAGCTGAAGAGTCCAACAATGATCTGCTCCTTTTCCTGTATGCTTGGATCGACTGGTTTTCCATTACAATCTGGTACTACCTAACGTGTGTGGCTATTGTCATAGCAACACGTCTCGCATGTGCGATACAACAAAGGTGGACATCAAGGTGACGATATACCTGCTGCTTGGTCGTGCGGGTCGTTTTTAGCTCCTGAACTGGGTTTCAGGTCGTTTTTAGCATCTAAATCTGAACAGCAGTGGAAAGCGACGCAGAAGCCATAAAGGTGGAACCACAGCTATTAGCATCCTGCAGCTTTAAGATTTCATTGTTCGGCACCCCCATACTCCGGGTCGCGGAGTATGGGGGTGCCTACTGGGGTCAGCGGGGGAGGGGTCACTTGCCCCTCCCTTCCTTCCCACCCCATCTCCAGCTGCCTCCCTCTTCCCGCTCCACCACAACCACCCACACATGCAGGACCTTGGAGTAGGGGTATGTCATGTTGTTTGTGGAGTAAGCGCTTACACAGCGAACCAGTTTCGTAATTACAAGTCACTGGAGGCGCACATCCAATTTACAAATGGCTGGGTGCAAGATTTGGCTATTTTCAAGCCGCCAAACTCTGAGTACGTCGTCAAAGTAAGTCAGCTGGAGTGCATCGAGTGAAATAGCCATTTTCCACCCCCCACCATAATTAATGTTATACATTTATCATTGAACTGCTAAAATATCGTTATCATATTATGTGCCCATAATTGTAAAGTAGATGCAAATTAACACATTGATAATCGGGCAAATTATTAACGCCAATTTGTGTCCTCCCTGTCTCCTCCTGCGAATCTTTACATAGCACATATGTCTGCAAAGTCACTCCATTTGATGTTTGATCGCAATTTCTATAACTTCCGAGACCACCAACGATGATATTATTCAGCTATAAAGTGTGATGTGAACATATTTAGAACTTACCGGAATGAAAATGTCTTGAGCACACCAGCTGATATCTGGAGACGTAACAGAACTTGATATCAGCTCGTCTCACGGCTGCTATCCAGGCTAGACGCCTTCGTTTGGTAATATCCGATACATGAGCTCCTTCATGTTGCTTCCAGGTTGGGAAAGCATAAAAAGACAATCCAAACTTATTCCCGTGCCGGTCGTAAGATCGAACATTGCAGCCGACCACACAGCAAGTACGAACCATGGCTATGCTTTGGCTCCTTACTTAGACCCCCAAAATGGCGGATCGGGCCAAAATCCTTTCCACGCCCACCCCCGTGACATCACGCTCCAAAGCCCTATATCATTGTGATGTTGTTTATTCTATTACTCTTGTTCTCTTCTGCTTGTTTTCTTTTTTCTTTCTCAGCAGGTGATCCAGGTGATTGATATATGCATTTTCTTTTTTTTTTTCTGCCCGTTCTGTTGGTTTTTGTCTTTTGCCCTTCTCCCCCGTCCCTCTTCTCAGCTGTTTCTCTTTCCCTCTTTCTTTCTCCCCTTCTTTCCCCCAGTCAAGTCTGTCCCGTATTCAGCAAGTGAAAATAAAATAAACAATAAAAGGTGAATCAAATGGACCATTACAGCAAGGCTGGGATGGTCCATTTGGTAAAGTAAATCCGTTGGGCATCTTTCTTTGCCTTTAGACAACAATTCTGATGCAAAAGAGCCAAACGGGACAGGCAAAAAAAAAAGAAAAAAAAATTTCATTGTTCAGACCCAGAAGATTCATTTATGTTTACACAGTCTATGGTTTACTTCCTGTTTTATTTTGAAGGTTTGTTGTGTGGTTTTCTTCCCTCCTTTCGTCTTCCTCCTGCTCTTATTAGCGTGTGATTATTATCCTTCCTTCTGATCTTCTCCTTTGGCTCCTTTAGCTTACTGTTCCACCCTCTCTGCGGTCCTCTTTCTAAAAACAATCAAACTGCTGCAGCTTTGGTTTGTCATAAATCAGGAGGCAACGTGACGGTCTGCAGTCAGTGTGAGGTTTCTGTAACTGATTAAACACACTTTAAATGTTTCCCCGTCACTGGAGGCGTTAATATTCACCAGTGAGCTCTGAGCTCAGAGCTGGAAACCCTCAGAGAGGAGGCCGAATGTTGGACAGATGGAGCTCCTGTCTGTGTGTCAGCCTGTCATGGCCACCCCACAGCTCACAGCAGGGGGGGCAGTACCAGGCTCCTCAGAGGGGCTCTTTAGCCGTTAATGGACACAGTGTTGAGAGCGCTTTTCTCCTCCTCTCACTGAGGGGGCCCTGCTAAAGATGCTTTCGCCCATTTTACATGGTCGCAGAGGATTCATCATGGCTTCATGGACAGGTCGCCTCGCCCCACATATTCAGGTGGCTGGGCTGCAGGAGGCTTCTGAGAGCCCCAAATACTGGAGCTGATAATTATGGCCTATATTGTGCAGTGACCCGGCCCAATGCACTGAATGCACAGGTGTCATCCTGCTCATCATCACATAACAAGGTGTATGTAAACAAGCCCACACAGGCAGCAGACTGCAGCTGAAGTACAGTTTATTAGAGGGTTATAGAGGCTGCAGTGCACACATCTGGGGCTTTATGCATTAGCAGCAACGATTTCTGGCACAACTTCAGCTACTTCCAAGGTGCATGGAGAGGATGAAAGAATTCACAATGCAAGAACTCCAGCATCACTTAAGGGAAGATGAACAACTTTAATAATTGACCAACGCGTTTCAGTTTGTGGCTGTTACGGGTTCGGAAAAGTTCAGTCAAACAATGGTTTATTGAGTACACGCGTGGGAAGATGTATACTGCAACACCAGCATCGATCTTCCCCGAACAGCTCAATTCAGAATGGTTTCATTCATCAGGGTTACGCCCCTTCATGCGTCACAAATGAACATGATATGCATCAGTTAGTTACAGTAAATGGTCAATCTTAAACCCCTAAAATTAGACAAAGAAGTTCCTTTTTCTATCACACCTTCCAAACAAGGCAATAAGTTGCAAGCCTAAATGGTCCCTGAGGGCTTGTCCTTTTCTTGACTTGTCTTCTGTCACCTGTTACAGGAAACAGAAAAAAATTCAAATTAACCAATCAAAACGTCATAGATAGATCAGCTGACATATAACAGGTAGGTATTGGTTAATTGGTTAATAGTAAATACTGGACTAGATCATT